AAAAAAACTGACTGATAAAAACCAAATGGTTCCAATTTTAAGAGCTCGATCGAGATGCTGTTCAAGATTTTTTTTTAAAAATTCATCCGGTTGCAAAATAGTGAAAGATCAGATATAATTGTGGCTATATCTGATTGTAAAAAAATCAATAAACATATGTTAGAATGATATAGATCATTTTTGAAATTCAGAATATAAATAATCAGACCATATAGGTCAGTTTTAGAAATCAGAAGTCAGGGGTTGTTGAAGTATGATTTGACTAATATACTAATAATATGATTATTTTTTATATAATTTCATATTTTAATAATATAATTGTTATTTTTGAAATTGATAAATTGGTGGGAATTGGTAATAGAGACCTTTCATTATAGTTGCTAACAATGTTGGCCAATCAAATTCGGTTCCAAGGGCCTGTAGGAACATGAAGGATTAGTTATATCCTGTATAACAGGATAGTAGCTGATAATTAAAATTTAATTATTCGTGGGATGAGTTTTTGATGACTAACACTGAGATTTTTTAAATTTATTTTATACAATATTTGGTATTGAATTCGTTTATCAGTATTTGAAGATTTGAATTATTACATAAATATGTATACTTGTGCTTTAACGATTTTTCAATTTAACAATTTCTAAATTAAATTTATATCTTTTTTTATATTCATTTTGTACAAAACTTTGCATTGATATTAACTATGATGATTCGATTTTAACTATGTGACGATGATTTCTCTTCAAATTAAATCTGATTTTTGGAAATGTACTATTAATAATTTTTACAGGATCCTTATTTTCAATAAATACCTAATCAAAATATTTTTGTTCATTATATTTGAACTTTATTGATTCTGAATTTTCTAATAATTATTAAAAAATTTGAACTACTACGTGAACAAGTGCACCTTACTAGTGATTCAAAGATTTTTAAATTTAATTTCTATTTTTATTGTTTTAGTTATATAGATATAGCAAGCACGTGTTGTATATGTTCAGAGGTAGCATATGAATTTTTAATACGACCGTAAGTAAGCCAATGTGGGAATAATCTTAACAGTTCAAAAGAAGAGGTTAATAATGATAATATTTTTGCTGCGTAAACTTAGGGGACGTCCATTAATCACTTGAGCGATTTTTGAAGATTTTTTTTGAAACCTCCTCTCCCTTGGTGATACTTGATGATATTTAAAATAGCACCCCCTCCCTCACCATCAGTACCTAGAAAAAATCATAAAATTTTGGATTTTTTTTTAAAATTGAAGTAAAAACTAAATACACGTGTTATCTTACTAGACCTTACTCTACGTGATATTTTATGAATTTTTGTCAAACTCCCCATTCTCACGTTATTAATGGATGCCTCCTTTGTAATATACTTTATAGAAAAGTTGTTAAGTTACTTTGGGCTTTCAGAGACTGATACTAAATTTTTATCACAGGCCGTTTATAGTATCGCAAGCATTTTGCAATGATATTCACGAAAGGTCTTTAATGTTACTTATCACAACGACACAATCGGCCATTTCCGTCCGCCTTTATACGAGAATGTAATTACGTGCAATGACATAATAGCTAGGATTGTCAGAGAGACGCATAATGACTAATATGCCGTTAATAGGCATTTTGCAAAATCTCTCCGAGTCCAACGAAACGTCGATCATTGTCATATGCCATCAATCGTCCGTCGATAAGATCTTTATAGGCGCCCAACGGCCGAGCGGTTACTTCGCGCTTTGATGTGACTCGAAGCGACGCGTTACAATGAAAACACACGCTCTCGACGGACGCTGAATTCTGAAAGCGGGATGTAATCGCATTACTTAACCGTGTAATTTATTTAAATCAACGGCAATCACTCGCGCTACGGCGACACCGAATCCTAGAAAGGAGACGGAATTCATTTCCTGTTAGGCTTGTCTCACACTATTAGACTAGACACGTGTTGTATATGTTTAGAGGTGGCACATGAATTTTTAATACGACCCGTAAGTAAGCCAATGTGGGAATAATCTCAAAAGTTTAAAAGAAAATGTAAATAAAAATGAGATTTATAATTCCTTAATCAGTAAAAAGTAGAAAAGTCGTGTTTTTAGTACCTCGAGGAAATAGCAACAATATACAAATAATACAGCAATTGAAATTGTGAAATTATGTCGTAAGATTTTTTAACTATTTGAACACAGCGATCACAACTTAAGGGTACTACCGTAGAACCGTAAGGTTCTACTCGTAGAACTTCTACGAGCTGTTGTTAAGAATTAACTTAACAACTACCTACGTTGCTTTTATAGATGGCAACCCAAGCAGTTTTCCTATCCCTATGGGATGAATTTTTATTATTACAATTTCTGTAATAGCTATGAATTTTTATTAGATACAGCAATACAGAGTAAGCGCTATTGTATTTATATTTCTAAGAAATAACTGACATCTGTTTTTCTGAGATCAAGCTGCCGGAGGTATTGAACTTGTAAGCTTTGATTAAAATTTCATAGCCCTATTCACTAACCTATCCAATTGGTCATTGTGTGTGACACAATTCTATAATTCTACTTTGTTATTAACTTCCCGTAGGGCAAGTTATAGTAATCGCAAAAAAAATCGAAAATGAAAATTTTTATATATCTTAACGTTTCAGAGGTTTCTGAACATTTGGCATACCTTAAAAAATGGATGTATGTGTGTGTGTATGTGTGTTTCTGTGTGTAAGTGCGTGTATTGTGTGTGAGCGGATACAAATTTTCGTCGACGATTTCGGGAACACGGATGAAGCGATTTGAATAATTCAAAAAACATTCGATTCGTATTGATAAGGAGATGTGCTGATTAGTTTTTGGTGAAGGCAGGTCTAGCCGTTTCGAATATATGGGGCAAAAAGTGCCAAAAACGGTAACTCAGTTTTTAAGAGAACGGAGCTTCCGATTTGAATAATTCAAAAAATATTTTACTTGTATTGATAAGATGAGAGTTTATCAAATTTTCATGAAGGCAGGTCTAGCGGTTTCAGAGATCTAACAAAAAAAGTAAATAAAAACGCCATTTGGCGGTCAAAAATGAGCATTAGACATATGCACATCATAAATTATCAGATATTTTATAGAGGTTTTAACAATAAGTATAAATTTTGTTTACATTCCTGTGGGTTCCGTACCAATGTTTACGCGTTAGACGGCGACGCGGCGCTTACGCGCTTCGATATTTCGTCTTTATGCAGTTAAAAAAATTTCAGAATTTCCAAAATATTTCAAAATAAATGATTTAAGATAGAATGATTTAATATGGTTCGAAATTTTATTAAAAGTTTCAAATCATTGGTCAACTTTTATTGATTATTATTGATCATTTTTAATTACTCGAATTTTGAATTGCGGTACGGGATTCCAGCAATTTGCCTTAAGGCACGATGCCTTAATTACCTTAAGACAGAATTCCACTTACAACTAATTTACCTCATCAATTAAGCACTCCGGTTTAGAGATTTCGAACAGTGGACAATATTTTGATCTCGATTTTCTTCAGAATGTAGGAATGCAGCGTTTGCCATAAACTTCAGAAAAAAAATAAAATCAGAATGGATTTTTGATCAGGAACTAAAATTGTTAAAGTTATGTAAGTTTAGGTATTTTTTGTATTCAACCGGGCGGGTTCGTGGGTTAGTGGTTAGAGTGATGTAAATGTCCCAGTTGAATACCTGCCTCGAGCAGCATGATATCAAGCAGTAGTAACATTGATTTTGACTTGGAAATATATGTAGAAAATATGTATATGTTTCCAAGTGAAAATAGCCCATACCTAGGCACTGGTAAAAGGTTCATCATTAATTGCAGAAATTGTGTTAATAAAATTGATCACATAGAGATGGGACAACTATTTGGGTTGTAGTCCATAAAAGCTGACGTAACTAGTAACTACTAACTAGTTAAGTAATATTATCGGAAAAGTTCATAAAACGCTTCAATTCTGCTTCCTGATCAAGTTAATAAATAGAAATAATAATGATATGGCAAACGTAACTTTGATTAGATTTTAATCGTATTCATGTTTTGCTCTCGAATTACTCCACTTATTAAACGTAAAATGGAAACTGACTATAAATTATACCCTTTAGCAGCATTTACTCATTTACTATTGTCAAATATTATAAGTAAATTGACCCATTAATACAAAATAATGCATTTGGCGTGTAAATTTTATTTTTTTGGAAAGCGCTATCAAAAACAAAAGTATTTTATTCAGATATTTGTTACCTAATAGTAGACTTCAAGAGTTTTAGACCTACATATTCAATTGAATTTAAACCCCAATTCACAATAAAAATAACTAGTATTTCATTGATTTCTTTAATAACTAAGTTTATGAACGCAAAATAAAATAATATTTATAAAAGATTTTATAAAGACGATTGTTCCTTGGGCTCAAATGGAACAAGAGAAGTTGTCAAAAGCATCTCGACACAAAAATAACTCCAAGAACAGTTTTCCCAATAGGAGTCTTCCGGGAGTTAATCGAGCGCATACTAATCGTATGTCTTCCAATCCATAGGCATTCAGTCGGCCCCGTTGTTTATATTAGTCGTCTCCTAAGTCTATACATGAATCATTCTTTAAATTGCTCTTGCTAATTTTAACTGGCTATTAAAATACACATTTGGAACATAGCATAAGAATTAGACCGGTAACCATAAAAGGACGTCTTTGAACTCTTCGTTCGTTGACACGAACTTTTAATGACATTATATACAATCGCAATACTTTAAATGGCATTACATAATGTGCGAATGACGAACCGCATCTACATTTAGCACAAGGCATTTGTCCGCGGCTATTTGTCAGCTTAACAAACTATTTCAACTTGCGTTGTCGTTTGATTTATTGTCATTATCTAATGTGTATTATGTCTTGTTATGTATGCTAAAATCTCATATCACAAATAGAGAACATCAAAAATAATATATTAAATAGAGGTCCGTTTTTATTTATAATACCTGAGATTTTTTACAAAACCACTACATCACTTTAATTTCCGCATGTCATACTTGACCTGTTAGTTATTTATTAATTTTATCATAATTTCCTTAATTAATCAATGTTACTTTTGATTTTTATTATATATTTTAAGAATATAAGGAATACAAATTAGTCAGCGATACCGTAGTAGAGTAATAACATTTGATATCCGAAATTTTCATAACGTATTATATAAAAATAAGTCGGGTTTTCCTTCCTGACGATATAACTTCAGAACGCACGAACCGATTTCGACGATTTTGCATTCGTTGGAAAGGTCTCGGGCTCCGTGAGATTTATAGCAAAGTAAATTGAAGAAAAATTTTGCAGAAAAGCCGAAAAATCTTTTTTCACATACAATGGCATCTCTGTTACTTAGCATGTACTACAAACCGATATTTTGAATATATGGTGCCGGTAGATACATTGTTTGACAGATACTCATTTTCTTTTCAAATATTAAACAAACAAAAAAATATTCATCTTTCTCACGAAACCATCTGGTGCGAAACGGAGTTAGCTGGGTTTGCTAGTTTAATATGAAGTTTTAATTTATTTGTAAATAATCTTTAACTTTTTTTGTGTAAATGTTTCTAGAGTATCATTAACATTAAGTCAACGTAGCTGTAGTGTTTCTTTTGCGATTAAAGTTTTTGATTTGACTTTATGTTTTATTCTGTAACTTTGGTCATTTTTCACTCATTGCTTTTTATATATTGCATTCTATATAGGATATGGCAGGGCTTAAAGGTCCAATTTGACTTTCAGTAATTACACTGTGAAAACCAAACCAATTACATCACAAGAAATGACACATAAAAACAAACAACTATCGAACTAAGTTCAGTACAAATCCCAATTAATTCACTATTATAGAATATGTTATTTTCTATGTTTCTAAAATTTGTCATTAGAACAATATTATTAGTCGAATCATTTAAGCTTAAATTATGTAAGAATCCTGGAATTCGAGATACCCAGCTGTAAGTCTGTAAATACTTGTATTTTGTATCCTAAAAGTTGTCTCAAAACTTACATATGGTAGGGTGTGCGCAACATATGTAGGTTTTGAGACAACTTTTAGGGTGCAAAATACAAGTATTTTGCACCCATTTACAGACTTACAGCTGGGTATCTCCAATTCCGAGGTGAACTTACTATAATTACTGATACATTACCTGTGTTTGAGATAAATGCGGTGGATTTTTTTACCCTTCGTCAGGGCTATCCTGTGACTGTGGTGAAAGCTTTATGCTTTGCAATCTAAGGTTCCCTACATCCACTTCTAACATTCTGGTATCAAGTAGTAGAGACATCGGTTTTCGCAGAAAATACAGACATAATGTTTCCGACTGAATATAGTCTTTCCAAGCATTGTTTAATAATTATCAGTATTAGAGAGATTCTAATACTAAAAGTATAACAAATATAGATGCCAACCGTATGGTTACGTACTAAAAAGAGCGAAATTGTCTAACAATAGCTTCTAGGTCTCGTGCTTTGACATCTAAGGATAATAATAAAATGAATTACATTGCAAGCTTTCATCAAGCTTTTATTTTTAGATATCATTTGTAGGTGCATGGTTATCAATAATAAATCTTTGCAAATTATTAATTAATAATACTGAACGTCTTTACAATTCTGTCGTTTTCTTCTATCTCTATACGTGTATCTGCTGAACTAGAAATACTATGTTTATATCTATGTGAGTTGAAAGTTTTGTATTTTTGTTCTATGTGACATTCATGCAAAAAATCAGATTCATTTTTACTACCGTCTTCTGCCAGTTTTGTGTCAATGACATTCACCAGATTTGCGAACGTGCATTTCCATCAAGGCGCCGTTTGATATTTTCATCATCGTTCCAGATACATTCGCTGTCACGTAATATTATATGCAAAACGACTCTTATATGCCGTTCCGCACACATGACTCACTCAACTTGCGGGTTTCGCTTATTAGCTTATTATTATTATTAATTGTTGCATTAGTCAGTTGATAGATACGCAATGATCTCATGATAGAGACCATTAATGACAGACATAATTCCTTCAGGCGCCGAGTTTTCAATTCTTTCTCAAATCTTTCGTAAGCTTTTAATGCGGACTGAAGAACACAGTCGCTAAAGTGCAGTGGCAGAGTCGCTGGCGAATAGTAGCTAAATTTCAAGTTTGCAGTTACTGAGCTGATATCCATAACTCGAATATTGAACTTAAGTCTTGGATCACAACCATTTATCAATCCCTTAATCGTAGTTAACAATGATTTTGATAGTTCACTTGATGTTGGAACTAAAGATTTTGACAGTCTGGCTTAACTTCAGCAAGGTTGTGATTTTGTAATAGTTCAGTGATACATTCACCAAAGATGAGTGTAATAGAAACAGCCTTAGACCGTTCATGGTGGTTCTGCTCACCATATAATTTTCTTGAGACTTTCTAATTTTTCTTAAATTTCCCATAGGCCAAACCGTTGAAATATGAATTTATGATATGTTATCTTATCTTGACATGTAAATGGGGAAAGATGAATAGAAAATAGGCGGTGTTTCAAATTTAATAACTTTTTAATAAAAGCAAAGATGAATATAATATGAACGAATATGCTTACTTATTAAACAAATTAATTCGAATTCAGTCAGGATCATACAATCTATTCTGCGATTCATTTTTTCAGCTAAGGAAGTTTGCGTTATATTCCTTCGTTCATTTAGAAGTGTTGGTATATGGATGAAGCATCAATTACACCCTAACATGGCTTTGAACACTTGCCAAAACTTGGATCATCTTCAAAAAAATGGTCCAGAGTTATAGTCAGTAATTTTTATTTGCTCTTCTTCGATTTCAATGATTCCAATATTTTGGTGCTCCTCTCACTAAATTAATTGTTCAGTCACAACATGCAATCTATTCTGCGATTCATTTTTTGCCTTTTTGTCATAAAGGAAGTTGAGGTAGTTTGTGTTTTTCTTCTTTGTTCTTCTAGAAGTTGGTGAATGGATAAAGTGTACACCCTAATTTGGCTTTGAACCACTTGTCAAAAGTTGGAACAACTTCAACAAAAATGATTCAGAATTATAGTCAGTTTCGATTTCAATGATTTCAATATTTTTGTTTTTCTTCTCACGCAATTAATTGCTCATCATTGTAATGTTTTTTTGACTTATTTTTTTTAAATCTTTTATATTTGCCTCATCTAAGCCGGTTTGTTCAGCTAATTCTGCTATTTCTTCTACGATTTCACTCTTATTTTGGTGAGATTCCTGGGCTAAAATAAAAGAAAGCTGCGTTAAGCGATGTTTAATTGTATTAATGTATATTTGATGTGACATGTACAAAGACAAATTATTTTAAATTGTCATTTTTGCAAAGCTTCAAAATTCCATTGAAAGTAGTCAAAAGCTAAGAATGATTTTCTATATATTCTTGTTTGATTTGGGATTAGTTCACTTATATATTATTGCAAGTGATGCAAATATATAACGTATTTATTTATTTTTATCGGCTTATTAATCTGCTGCATTCGGCGTGAATCAGCAATTGCCAGCGGCGGCTGTTTGCAGTCATTGTTGCATAAATGCAATTCGCGCCGCGTTACATCATTCACCAGACTGTGTAAATATTATAGTGAACAAGTTCATACTAATGTTATTTTGGATTTTCGAAAAAGGAAAAAAATATGTTATAAAATTCTATTTTTTTTTTAATTTTTTAGAAATATATGTTGATCACATATGTATTTTCCTTGTGATTTAAAATATATATTAGAAGTTGCTCATTCCTTTAAAATGCTTCCCGATTTCTTTGTTTTTGCATATTATATTATATACTTGAATTATAAATGACAAAGGTTTTTACGTTTAGGATTATAATCTTGATATTCAAGAAAAATAATAAAAATTAATAAATATCAACATTTCACAAGTAAAACTTGCTGATATTTTTTGTATCATCATTTTGTTACTTAGATACTCTTCTTACGTAATTGCTAGATGAAATTTTATCCTTATGAACTATTTTTGGTACCCTACGTGAATAGAGCTATATTTCAATCATAGCCTGGTATCAAGCAGAGTGACATAAGTTTTTATACTTGGAAATATTTTATATAAAGCAAATAATTTTTTTTTACCTGAGTAGAATTAGGTTCAATACCGATCCTAATTGCTATTGCTTGGGTGGAGCGGCTAGGGCGGATGCTGAGGTCGCAATTATGAAGTGCAAAAAATGGGAAAAGGGTAGGAAAGAACTATGGAGGGAGATAGTAAGGCAAAAAATCTCTTTCCCAACCAATTTTATAACATTGTTGAAAAAAAGCTATATAATTATGTACAATCAAATAAAATAAAATTGTGAAGATAACTCATAAAATGTATATGGCTAATGTACGTGTTACAAAGTCAGTAAATAAAGTATAAGAAAAAACCTTTCTTCAAGTATAAATAAGGCATTGGTTGGCATTGCTGAGTCTACAAAACATTCATAACTATCACAGAAATTGTAATAATAAAATTTATCACACCGGGACAAGTATTTTGGTTCCAATTTATAAAAAACTGTCAGCACCCTTAAGTTCTGATTTGTGCTAAAATAATATAAAGTATCATTCCAATCTTATATTCTAAAATTAGTATTACATTCAATTTTTGCAATAAAACTTTTCTAGTATATTACAACAAATATTTCTTACTCTTATTGTATTGCTAGGTGTATATTATAAGCAGAATAAATTTTAGAAATATTAAATTTAGTTCCTAGATGTGGCCCTGCTTTGTGTATACTATTATTCTATGCTCGATATTTCTTTAATAAAAGACTAATTATCACATAATATATAAAAGTTCGCAATACATTCGAGATTGTATCCTGTCTTGCCTTCATCGTTACTCAATTTACAAATCGTATACATACAATCACCGATTTCACTAGTCTATCACATTGCGGGATTAGCGGCGGCTCAGTTTCCATAAAACTGGTGTGATTGCATCTGATTCATTATCGATTCAACGTGTGTGTTATATTCTTGTATAATTTTTCCTGTGTATTTGTGTCTGGAGTGGGCACATTCTTGTAAAGGCCGCGACTCCCAAGGACGCCTATGCGGTGCCCTCCCATCGGCATCGCAAACGCCTTCCCCGCTTCGACGTGACAACGTCTCTGGTCAGCGCACAACTATGTTATATGTTTATTATAGAGAAGTGCACTCTCAACACACAATGAGTATTGAATACTCATGATATAAATATTATCGATTGTGCATAACACTAATTAATTCTTTAGGTGATTTAATATCCGATCTATAAATACATAATAATATTAGATCTTTATTCTCTGAAATTGATAAAATTAATTCACCAGATTGCAGCATGTAATCGAAATCCGGGGTGTTATATTATCCTCATAGCAAAATCTTTAGTTAAATACGTATAATTATAAATAGTTATGATAATTATTACTAATTATCATAATTATTTCTAAAAATATTTTAGTTGATTTCATCTTTTTTAATTGTATACAGTTTAGTGGTAGAGTCGCTGGCTAATAAAAGATAGCTTCCAAGTTGTAGTTACTAAACATAAGTTGAATTCCTGGACTCAAATATTAATTTTCTTGTCCGAATATATTAATTAGCATTTTCCTCTCATGCATGGAGCTTTTACCACCGGAAGGAAAAATTAGCACATTCTTAAATTTTGTTTTCTTATTTGTGTATATGTATGATTCAGTACTATAGATTTATACATTTACAAGTTGCAAGTGAAATATGGTATCATAGTCTACTGGACACATAATGTCTGTTTATTTGGATCAACAATTAGCAATATAGTATTAGTATAGCAATTATTAGCAATATAAAATCATTTGTACTTGGTGTTCTTCTATTTATCTCTGATATTTGAAATATATATATTTGAAATACATCGACAATTTAGTTTATAGATCATTGAGTCCCTTCAAAATTTTTTACCTATTTTTACTTTTTGCGAATCTCTGATCGGTTGCAGATGTTCCCGCCAAAATCAAAGCATGTTATATATTGATATAAAAACAAAAAGATATCAAATCAAAAATCAACACAAAATTAAACCAATCAAAACAATATAATTAAATTGTGAAAATAATGTAAATAAATATAAACATAATATCACAATTAAAGTGTTTTACAAATCATTGGTCCTCCGGAAAATCAATCAAACATTACAAAAACAGTAGGTATTATAAAATATATTTTTAATATCAGATGTGGCTGTATTATTTTGTTTACAAGATGGAATTCCGTTTCATCTATA